CACCTTATGCTACATTTCTTTGATACAATAAAAACATATCTTGGATATATTCTGGTTGTCAAAGTTTGTGGAACATGTACCTATTTTAATATTTAAATAATGAAATCAATTTATAATATATAATTTCATACTATATGTATTTATATTATCAAAAGAACAGGACATTTAATAACCACAGCTTGGTTTTAATCATCTGATGTATCCTTACAGCATGTCATGATGAAGTAGGCCATTGCTGTGGGCCTCATGCCCCAATTTTATTTCATTTTTTAAAATGTATACTTTTGGTTCGGACCTGTGGATGGTGTCCTGTCCCTCTGGCCCCTCTGGCTGCGGGTCTGTTGATCCTATTGTCTTCTGCATCAACACTCGTGGTCTGGTGCATAAAGGGCATCTGGTTAGCAGCTTAGACTCTACGGCAGGCATGAAAAGCAGCCATCATAGCCCATTCGCTCACATCTGCTCAGTGGTGCGACAAGGACGAGACTGAGTCTGGGTGACTGGGGGACAGGAGTTCAATTCGCCCCACAGGCCCCAGGAGCAACGGACAGAACTGGACTGCACTGGACCCACCACTGTGCAAAGGTGACCATTTAGGCTCAGTTAACTTTGGCTCTCCATTTATAGCAATAGCTTTTTTGTCCAGTTTTGTTTTATGTCTAAGATGGCCTAAATTGTTGAATGTGAGCCTGTTGGTGATGTGTTTTGGCAATGGCATATCTGAGTCTTACAGTTGTTTCCTGGTCCTGTTTGTAAATGATCTGTTCAGTCTAGTTTTGTTTATCAAGAAGTTTACTTATTAATGAGAAGGTGCTTTTAGAAAATATTTTTCATAATATCTTAACAATAACTTTATTATAAAAAAACAAAACCGCAAGCGTATGATATATCAGGTTTATCATGTAAGTAAAACACTCTTGGACCATCTTGTTTCTCCCTAATTCCCATTGTCTTTCTTGTACACAGCTAATACACAACAATGGGAGACTGGAGCTTCTTGGGTAATATTTTGGAGGAAGTAAACGAACACTCCACACGCGTTTGGCTCACAGTTCTGTTCATTTTCCGCATTTTAATTCTGGGCACGGCAGCAGAGTTTGTCTGGGGAGACGAGCAGTCTGATTACATATGTAACACTAAGCAGCCAGGTTGCGAGAATGTGTGTTACGACGAGGCCTTTCCAATTTCCCATATCCGTCTATGGGTGTTACAAATAATTTTTGTATCCACACCTTCGCTTGTATACGTCGGCCATGCTGTCCATTACCTCCACATGGAGGAAAAACGAAAGGACCGTGAAGAAGCCGAGGTTAGCCACCAACAGGAAACAGGCGAGGAGCGTCTTCCACTTCCAGATCAGGGAAGTGTTCGCACCACCAAGGAAACCAGCACGAAGGGTAGCAAAAAGTTCAGACTCGAGGGCACTCTGCTTTTCACCTACATATGCCATATCATCTTCAAAGCTCTTTTTGAAGTAGGCTTCGTAGTTGGACAGTACTTCCTCTATGGGTTCCGCATCCTGCCGCTATACAAGTGCAGTCGTTGGCCGTGCCCCAACACGGTGGACTGCTACGTCTCCCGGCCTACTGAAAAGACCATCTTTATCATTTTTATGCTTGCAGTTGCTTGTGTTTCACTGTTCTTTAACTTTGTGGAGATCAGCCACCTCGCCTTGAAGAAGATCCGATTTGTATTCCACCGACCAGCTCCAGCGCAGTTGGAGCCTCTTGGACCACCTGAGAGGAACTTACCATTCCTTCTGAGCACCCTTGTCCAAAAATCCAAGGGTTACAGGCGCCTTGAAGAGGAGAAGAAAGACGAGGTGGCGCACATATATCCACTAGCTGAGGTTTGTATGGAAGAGGGCCAGTTCTTCTCACCTCAGCTGGAGAAGGAGCAGAAAAGGAGTCAGGAGGTGGTTATGGCAACAGTGCCACCTGTAGAGGAGACAATCATATGCGATGAGACTCAACCCTCCTTCATTCAGGTCACAGAGACACTACCAGAGCTTCCACCAGAAGAACCACTTCGGGAAGGAGATGAGGTAGACAGCATAAAAACTCCGACAGCTTTACCAGAAGTACTGGAGGAGCGTTCAGAAGGGGAAAGTGTGGAGGAAACATATTTAATATCACTTGAAGAGAATTTGGATATAGATCTAGGAGAACTGGCCTGTAGAGAGGTGACTGAGGAAAAGTCAGCGAAGGAGAGTAGCTTAATAGATGCTGAGCCAGCACAAGAAGAAAAACTTTCAGAAGCTGAAGATGAGAAGGAAAACTTACAGGAAATTGGGGAAAAAGAGCATAACACCTTTAAGGTCCAGGAGTTGAGGGAAGAAGGGAGTTTACCTGATGTGGTTGAGGAAGCGACAGCAGATGCGGTGTCTGATGAAGAGAGGGAACTTTGTGAAATTGAGCCTTTTGTAAATGAGGACATTTTGGAAAAGGCAAAAACTTTAGATGATGGTAAGATTACTGGAGATCTGGACATGTCTAAAATATCTGAGGGGGAGCAAGAGTCTGAGGCTTTACGGGAGGTAGCAGGGTCAAATTTATCTGACATAGAGCCCATTGGGGATGAAGTGGATATGGGAAAGGGCAAAGCTACGGGGGGTATAGAAGATATGGAAGGGGATGGAATTCAACGGGATGTAGTAGACTCAGAAGTGGGCAAAGCTTCAGAGGAAGTAGTAGATATAGGAAAAGGTGAATCTATAGAGGGTCTAGTGGATGCAGGAAGAAGTTGTGCTTTAGAAGATGTATTAAAAACAGGTAAGAATGAAGCTTTAGAAAATCTAAATGAAGTTAGACCTTTTGATACTGCAGTCAATAAAGGTGAGGAGGTTCTAGATAAAGCTGTAGGACTTGCTGTTGACACTGAACAGGTGGAAACTTTGGGAAAGGAGGAGGTATCCTTGAAGATAGAGGATCCAGAGGAAGTCCAAGTCTCTAGGGAGTGTGATGGGTCAGGGAAAAAAGAGGATTCTGTGGAATCTGGAGGCCCAGAGAAGGAGGAGTGTTCTGAAGAAATGAAGGCCATGGAGGCCACAGAGGAGATGATGGATGTTTCACTTGTAGCTCTGGAACTAGAGAAAACAGAGGAAACAAGATCATTAAGTCGTCTCAGCAAAGGTAGCAGCAGAGCCAGGTCAGATGATCTTACAATATGACTGAACAACAAGCAGAAACTTGACATAGAAAAATCCCCAAATTCCCAAGTGCCACATTATCAGGTGAATCATTGGACAAGCATGTTTTCTTGATCAGGGGTTTTCAACATGTCATGAAATGCCCCTTGCAGGTGAACCCCTTACTGAATGTATATACTTCATGTATAAAGGCCCATTAATACTGTATGAGAAAAAATATTATGAATTTCTTTGTAACCACCTAGAGTTCTGGACACAAGTTTGAAAATCCCTATTCTAGATGATACTTTTGTTTTACACACAAGTTCATCTAAAAAGAAAGGCAAAGGTACAAGAACACAAGAACAATGAATGATTTAGATTATGGAAATAAAAAATTACAAACAATCTTCTATAAAAAGTAGTAGCTTATTTCTCACAATGAACATTACTAAGGACATACTTTCAAACATAATTTGAATATCCTTTTTAGTCTTGCTTTTCAAAAAGACCCTTTCTTTATTTATTCAATTTATTATACTGTAACTCCCATGCAAGATAATCACAGAGAGTGACTTTCTGAATTTCTATCTGTCTATTGCTTTGACTATTTATGGTAATCTATACATTTGCCTATTACCGTTTTATGATTATCCTGGGCCATAATAATTGTGTTGTTTATAAATCTACAATCAATTTGTTTACAACATTTACATTCCTTTTCAGTAACATCTGGACTTCTGATACAAAGTTAATTAAAAAGACAGAATATTGTAATTGAGAAGTGGTAGGGTTTGATTGCAGGTAGCAGGACTAATATTTATATGGACTGTACCACAAAAAAAAAAAAAAAAGGATTTTATGATGCGTGTAATACGTTTTCTTTTTTCTTTTGAAGACCCTAAATAAAGATACCACACTGACTGATGACCAGTTGTGCTGTTTGTATTCATATAAATTTTCACCTGCCCATGAACAACAACAATATCTGACATCAACAATGATTTTTTTAAAGTGTAATAAAATAGTATTTGCGGAAAGGGTATAAAAATACATGTTACATAGTGAAATTGGACAAAGATTACACATGTATGACCTCTAGTGGTCATACACTGAAAGAACAACAACCAAACAGAAATGAAAGTACAGATGTGTGAAGACCCAAAACAACCCTTCTTCAAACCAACATGAAAAACATGAAATGTGCCAACATATTTTTGTTTAGTATCAGTGTGATATAGTGTTTGCAACTTCTTCAGACACATATTTTGCAACCTTGACACAAACAGGACCATAGTCATGCATTTACAAAAACAGTGTCTACAGAGTGTCTGTTCATCTTTGTTTCTGTTCACAAGATATGTTCTGTTCATGCCTCCATGGCCAACATAAAAATGAAATCCACACAGTGTATTTACATAAAACACCCACATACATAATTATTTAAATGTGTGATAGCAGAAGTGCAGTCACAAAAAAGACCAGTGTAGCATACCATCATATTTGCATCAATGGATCAAAGTGCGTTTGATACTGTCCAGTACAGTGGCTGCATATTGACATTTTTCTTTCTCTTCTGAACCTAACACACGGCAAAGACTATTTTCAATTCACTTAAGTTTTTTCATTCAAACAAATTAGCTACATTTTGTCATGTGACTATATTCTGTGCAGATTTCGCTCTTCACAGACATTCAAAGAAATGTAAGAATGATAATAATGAGTCTGCCTTGATTTAAAGGTGTTTATTATAATATATTCTTTTTAGATAAAAAAGCAATAATTTACATCCACTCTGATATCGTCAGTCACACGTCTTTAAATGTTTTCTTTTCTGCCTACAGGTAACGATGTCCTGAGAGCTGTCATATTGGTGGTATGGTGATGCCAAGGTGAGGATTTGATAATTAAGTCTTTCAAAAGATGCCGTTCAAATGATGATTGTCAACCTAGAAATGGAAAGAAAATATACTGTCACTGAAAATACCCTTCTACTGCAGATAACTTTTCCTTCCCTATGCTTTCTTTGTTTCTCTTTCCAGATGATGAAATGTTTCTCTTTCTATATGAAGGAAGAATTTCATCTCGCCCTTTCTTGTAAATGCACAGCTTCTTGTGCTTACAAGAAGGGACCACAACACATACGTGAAATAGTGAAAGTAACACATACGTAAAATAAACGCCTCACCTTTTTTCCATCTGATCTATGTTGAGGCTTCTGTATCAAAATGAAATCCTAAAAAAAAAAAACCTTAACCAGAAGTTAGATCATCTATTCTATGGCACTAGTTAGTTAAATAGTTGGATTTCCACTGTGGAAAACATGAATATAACATGCACAACATGTTTAAAGTCTGCCATTCCAGTTTGGTTAGAGTGAGTTTTACATCCAAACACCTGAGGTGGTTTTCAAACAGCAGTCAAATCTTATAGGAAGGGCCCCTTGATCCAGTCTCTGTAATATAAGTCTCTTGATTTTTAAATTACATGCTATGAAACAATTTCTCTCGCCCTCATTTTGACCATTATAAAGGTTTTCTGCATATTTTACTTTTCATGTTTCTGATATATAAATGTGCTACATGAGCAAACAAACATCTGTAGAAACATGATCTCAGTATGATACCTTTTCCTTAAGTAATGTCTTCATGATAAAGTCCATAATTGGAAGCATGCTGATCAGCTGCCCTTTTTTCCATTGTCTGTAAAGATTGAACAGTTCTACTCTAGCGCATCCTTCTTGACACACTGAGGACTAAACGAAAAGAGAGAAATGAACAAGACACAGTCAAATACGCTTTCATATGCATAGGATTAAAACGTATGATCAAGTAATGAAGCTTTTTCTTATCACTGACCTTTGGGAGTGACTGCAAAATATGAATTAACCACTGAAAATCTTTTAGAGCATCTTTCAGGCTCTGATCTTGATGCTTTTTGATGTTCAGAGCTTCCAGACTCCTGAATTTCTCAACAGTGGAAATCTGATGAGATACCAAGTTTTTAACAATAAGTACTTTACAACTCATCTTTTTGTTGTATCTGTAATAACTTTTCTGCGATTATATTACATTTCAAGAGATACAGCTGAGGCTGATACACTATTTGTTGTTTTGAATGTATTCAATTTTTATCAGTAAAAATTAGCTAAGATGAACCAAAGGGACTAATTACAGAAGCCCCCTAACTAGTCATTTTGTTTCATTTTCATTTGAACATATCCATGACCTTAACACACAAATCATAAATTCCAATACATTTGAAATTCTATGAAAATTTAACGGGTGTAGGCAGGGTTCAAAATGATGTGGTGTCTTATTTCTTCCATGGAACATATGGCTTGTTTTACATTTCAGTTCCTTATAAGCTGGGATTTTTTTTTTTATTCCAAATCCATTTTTACATGAGATCTCGAGTCACTATTACCTTGCCCATGTTGTTCTTGTATTTTGACCTCAAACATTTCAGCTCTTTAGACCATCTGAAAATAAAACCTTTACATTCTTCTAAACTCAAGTCATCAACCATCTTAAAAGCTTGGGACTGTCCAGAAACCTGAAATATCAAATAGCAGAAAGAGTTATTCATTCATTGTCTAGACAAGAAGAATGCCAATGTAGATAATCTTTCAATTGCTCATAATTTAGCTATGTCAAGACAGAGATAATCTTATACGAAAGTTTATCAGCAGAAACAATGTGTAATCTACCTTTGCTGTGACTCTGTTTAACTGTGTTGCTAGGTCTATTATAATATTGAAAGTGTCCAAGGTGTTTTGCTTCTGTGTGGATACAAAGACATAGACACATGCATGTATAACTGTCATTCAAAACAAAGCATAATGAATTTATAGGCTGATTTCATTAGTAACTAAATCAATGTAAGTATACCTGTAGAAATGTTTCCTTTGATCCTAATGTATTCCTTAACCTGTTTACCTGTTAGATAAAGTTTGGTTAAAATAAATGGGAAAAGTTACGGCCCTCCTTGTCTGTTCATGTTTTTCATCAACAAACAAAAAAAAAAACTATGCACACATTCAGATACCAGTAGACGTAGATGTTTCGTGATGAAAACGTACTATTGTAGTAGACAACTCTGGCTTTGTGAATGGTTCAGACGTACGATCATATTCTATTTTAACAGTCTTGCAAATTATTTTAGTTTTCCATGTGGACATGACATCCTGTCCTTTAAAAAAAAAAAGTCTCACATTAGCATGTAAATCTGCATACTGAATGAGAAAGTAAAGCCAACTGAATGACCTGTTGACTTTAAACGAATAGCACATATTTCCATTATCACATAGGTCATTATCTGTATATTTATTGACTTACCGTTCCTTGGCAAATCATGCAGGTTCCGAATGGACTTGGACAAAATCCCCATGTTCTTATCCTTATATATATCGTAGGCTATTTCATATAGACGAACGCTTGAGAATATATAGGCTACTGAACAGTTGTTGTTACAATATATTCACTGGGTGGCGCTTCTGCAGCCTATTTTCCTATGTGGGCTTGTCCTTAAACTGAAATCACGTGATTGACGAGAGCCAGGCTGTCAGTGATATGAAGGTAAAATAATGCCGGTGTCATGAGAAATCGAGTCCCCCCTCGAAATCGGGTCGGTTTAGGATTTCGAGGGGGGACTCGATTTCTCATGACACCGGTGTCCTGGCATTTTATCCTACCCGTCAGATTGTCCTACCAGGGTTTACTGCGCATGCGCACATCAATATTGCGTCAACATTTGCGCTTTTTCTCATGCTGAACAACATTATTTAATGTATCTGCATTACTGTAAGGGTAGGTTTAGGGTTGGGGTAGGTGTAGACTTTAATAAAACACAATCTAATTGGTAGAAAAAATTATGGTAACACTTTAGAATAATGGTCCGTTGTTAACAAGTAACTATGCAGGAAGTAATAGGTAGTACTACATTAACACTGAACTTAATACTATTAACTAATAGAGAAGCACGATTAACTAAGCAGTAAGTAGTAGCAAATTTAGGACAAAGGTAGTTCCTTATTAGATATTTGATAATTATTAAATAAAAATATCCTCATTGAGAACTAGCCTACTTCTGAACTATAACCAGTTAATAAAGAATAACCAATTAATTAGTAATCACAACAGTAACGTCTTAAAAGTGAACAATTGGGTTATTTGTGGAAACTAATTTATGAATTTGATATATCCCCCAAATAAGTCGGCTATATTTTAAAATTGTGACTACTACTCTTACCAAAGGATGGATGTTCAAACTTAAACATAGAATAATAATAAAAATGAAAATTCACTTAAAAATGTTAATAATTAAGAAGTGATGCTGACAAGCTCATGATTGAATTAGTTCACAATTATGATCTCTAGTTTGTGTCAGTTCAGTATGTCTCCAACTCCAAAAGACCTATACCTTTAGTGACAGTAGGCTGGGGAGGACTTTTC